CCATTGTACCAGTGAAGGAAAGGTTTCAGGGTTTTTACTTCAACTTTTTCACTGTTTTGAAAACCAAAGGAAGACATTCACCCCCATCTTGAGCCTAAAGGTCTTACATAGTTACATAGTTAGTTAGGTTGAAATAAAAGACATAATACCATCAAGCTCAACCATTTTTTTATTCAAGCTCAAAAATTCCACATGGAATCTGCCACGTCTGTCATAGACTCCCTTTACTAGGGAGACTCACTAGCCTCTGAGGACATCAGTGATGCATACTTTTATGTCTCCATCTTTCTAATGCGTCAACTCAGTCTCCATTTTGCTGTAGGCACTCAACTCTACCAATTTATAGCCCTACCATTTTGGCCTATCATCACCACCCCAAGTGTTCATCAGAATTCCAGCTCCTGTGACAGCCTTACTACCCTCACAGGGTATTCCCATTATAGGATACATAGACACAACTTTTGTTGTCTTAATTAAGAAAACTGTACTCTGAGTATTATACTGTACTCTGCTTCCCAATATAGACTCTTCAGTGCAAGAGCCATCCCACCCTGTGATTCTACATGAGCGTTATGGGTTTGCTGGTAGTCTCCTTCAAAGCAGTTCCATTTGTTCAATTCCACTACAGACTTTTACAGCACCACATTCTGTCATTGTGGGACAAATTTGTTTAGTCTCTAGGCTTTGGAGTTGGAAGAATCCTTCCTCCCATTGTCATGGAAGTTCATCATGATGGGTGTCAGCTTGAAGGACTTGAGAGGTATCCTAGACACTTTTTTGTGGCAGGGGACTTTGTCAACAGAGGAATCTCACCACCCAATCAACATTCTGGAGCTATTAGTGATTTGACAGTCCCTGCAATGCTGGACACCCCAAGTGGAAGGTCATCCAATATCGATTTAGTCAGATAACGCCACAGCAGTTTTGTACGTCAAACATCAGGGAGAAACCAGAAGTATGGCTCTGGTGGAAAACAGTGGAAAGGATTCTAGTCTGGGTAGAACTCTACATTCTAGCCCCATTCGCCGTTCTCATGCCAGGCATGGACAATTGGCAGGCATACTATTGGCAGCATCAGGACTCAAGGGAATGGTCCCTACACCCAGAAGTGTTTCAGGACCTTTGCCAAAGGTGTGGAAAAAATCCTATTTTGCTCTGCATATTAGCCCACAAACAAAATCCTGCTCAACTGATATGTTGCATTTACAGCTCGGAAATAAAAAACACTACCTGTGGGCAAATGTTACACCTCATTACACTAAACCCAATCACTCAATTATTTTAAGCTTATACATTGTATAAACTTGATAATTATGTACCGTATTTTTCGCTCCATAAGACACACTTTTTTCCCCCCAAAAGGAGGGGGAAAATGTGCCTGCATCTTATGGAGCGAATCCTGACGCCCGAGACATGCAGTTTCGGGCGCCGGGTGAGTAGTAGATCACTCGTATTAAAGCCGAGCGGCGGCGGCGATCGAGTTCAGCAGTAGGAGCCACTGCTCGTTTAATACGAGTGATCTAATGAGATCACTCGTATTAAAACCGAGCAGCGGCGACGATCGAGATCACCATAGAGCAGACGAAGAACGGACTTTCTTTGTCTGCTCTGTGTGATTACTGAGACCGTGGTGCCGTAATCACAGCGCCACCTGTCTCAGCGGTCACTAACTGCAGCTTCTGTCACAGCTTCTGTCATAGAAGCTGTGACAGAGGCTAGTCTGTCGAGTGCTCCATATGGCGCGCCGGACCTCCCTGTGTCCTATGGTCCGGTGCGTCTTATGGACCGCAAAATACAGTAATTTCAAAAATCAGTTGTATAAATCCACAGCTTTCATCAAAATAATAGATGTAATTCTGCCATGAAGGCCCTTGTTTAGGCACTGCAGGTTATGGGGTGACATTGCTCTGTCCCTGTCTCCCAGTTGTCCTCCATTTTCACTCTGTTATCTAAATGTAATGGGAAAAGGAAATTCCTGTTTACTTATTTCATCTGCACATGATTGGGTATTTAAAGTGAACAGGAATTAGGTTTTTACATGATTGGATAATTGAAGTGAATATTCACACAAATTATTGTATGAAGGTTCACAACTCCTTTAGTAAATCAGCCCAAATAAGTGACCGTTTCAATACATATTATGCAGGCATGGCCCACTGTTGCCATCATCAGGAAACCTACCATGAAAATGCCATGGAACCATCACTGGTTTACTTGTAAACAGGAAGTGGCTGCAAAGAGGCTGTGGAACAAAATCAGCAACACTGAAATGCAAAACATGCACATTGTGTATTATAAATAATGCTTTGGAAACCTATAAGTTATTCAGGCTTGTATCTACTTTCACCTTTAGCTTAAAACTAAACATTTCTTATTGGCACAATGCTTATGTCTGGATTCACACTGTTGTGCTATTAGGTGTTTGGTTTAGAAAGCCCCTTAACTTGAATAGGCTACTTAACGCACCAAAACTCAATAGTTGCATGCACTATTTTTAGTAACGCAGTACTGCAACACAACAGTGTGAATTCAGCCCTTAAAAACCTGAAAGGCAACAAGACGGGTACAAATATACAATTATGAAGTTGACATTTTTTTCTGCCCTTTGTCAGAAAGGTAGAGGTTTATTTTCATCTCCTTCATGATTTAGGACTTCAGTTTTTTAGGTATTGTGTCATAATCTGGCATCCACAGTGATTGGTAGATTCCAGAAAAATTTAGTTTCTGTTACTTGAGAGTCACTATTAAAAATAGGTCTAACTAATGCCATACCATAACATAATCATCACTGTATTGACTTCATAGTAATATTGAAATGCAGTAATCAAAAGCAAATTAAGACAAATAGACACACTTAACACAAAATAAGACAAATTGGCACACAATCGTTTCCAGGATAATACAGATCAGCAGAACATCGAGTACACTGGGGATTTTTTTTCTGGTTATAAGAGAGTTCTGGTTAGTTAAATACCAGATAACAGAGTTTACTGTAGTTCATATTTAAGAGAAAATACTTTTTGTGTGGTTACATAACTGCTAAGGCACATACTTGACAACCTAATTTGGTTGGTATGCAACTATCTTCTTTATTCTAGTATATTTTTTATTATATTGTATTCTGCATTTGATTAGTGATCATAACCTCTAATTATTCAGCTAAATGCATGACTGCGTATATAATTTAGCCATTTTTCAATATTTATCAAATTGTTTAATTACATTTTTTTTGATCACCTAGTATATAGTCATTTAAACTATCTCGAATCAGTGTAAAAATATTCTGCAATCTTGTGTAATGTGTACGATTTTCCCTTCAAATTAATCTGTATTTCAGCCTGTGTTCTCAGCCCCGATCTTCCTCATCCACCCATAGATATCATACTATTCCTTGGACATTCAGTGTCTACACTTCAGTCTTATTTCCCCTTCCTTACCTCCACCTCTTTCCCCGACATGCTTATCAAGATCTTTGTTTTTCCACTCCTGAGAGCTCCCCCAAGCGTTTTTGAAAGAGATGCTCAGACAATGCTGCCTATAAGGATAATGTGCTATTTGTTATGTAGGCCTGCATATTATTAATTCTGCTTACATATTATTATCATATATGTTATTAATATTTTAACTAGGTCCCTTTATCAGGCTGAACTCAATTAAATGCTCGCAACATGCTACACTGTGTTGCAATGTGCTGTAACACACAAAAAAGCACCTCAACACATGTAAAAAAGGCATTGCAGTGCAGACAAATCTGCTTAATCATTTTATCTTTTGCATTCCCTGTTTTTAATTTCCCCCTCATCAACATTTAATCTAATTTAAAAAAAAATTATTAAAAAAACATTCTATTTTAACATTCTAATTTATTTCATTTTTATTTTATTGCATACCTTATTTTAGACCCAGTGATTTCACCACTGGGTCTTTTTCCATTTTTATGCAATTCAAGCAGATCATGGCTGGTGGGCGGGGCCCTCAGAATGCTGTACATAGCTTCCTGACCTCAGTACTCCTCTCAAGAGCACCCAGCTCTAATGCAAGCAGCAGGATGGCTGTTGGGGGGGAGCTATGAAAATATCAAAATGCTTTTATGGGTGGAGGTCGGTGGCCCTTTCTAGGCAGCCTGCTTTTGCTTGTAGACTTCCCTAGGTAACGCTCACTTGTGATGCTGAGCCTCTGTAGTTGAAAGAACTTAAATCCAACAAATGGAAGGGGTGGCCAAGGCACAGTCAGGCAGGGGAGGAAAGACCTAAATGATACTGGAAGTCCTGCAGCTAGGAAATAAGGCATGTTCTATCTGACTTGCTGCAGCTTCTAATGCACAAAATTCACAGTTGTCATTGAAATTACAGAAAGCAATTTCAGTACAAGAGAAAAGTCTCTCTTGTACTGAAATCGTTCAGATTTTTAGCAGAAATGGAGGGAAGGTGACCAGAAGGTGCACTTTACAATAAGGTTGGATGTTATGTGAAGTATGATTAAAGAAAATGGTAAGGCTAGCATGTGTTAGTATTCACAGAGGGTCTTTTGTTCTTCCATATACCCAGTGCTAGTTTTTCATTCTCTGTAGAATAAGGAGGAACAGTTTAAACTGTAATCGGTTGTCCTGCCACGCTGTGTATTTGTAGAACATCAAACCTGTATTGGTATTAGATTGTATCAGCATCGTATTCTATCTCATTTATTCCAGCTCTAATGTTTTTTTTTTCCATTGGTATCTACTATGGTTTTATAGCGATGATGCATTGAAAAATATCTACAATACAGTGTTTGCAAAATAGTTACATGTACTTTAATTGCTTTTCTAACAGTTATTTTTAATGATAAAAATAAGTAATTAATGAATTCATAAATATTATGCAGCACAGTGTGTATTCTTCTTAAAACATGGTAATTGTTTAGTGCTGTTTTGTTTTAAAAAATAATTCAGCGATGCGGATACAGATATGTAAAGTATCTAAAATGTGGGCCTGTTTTCATTTCAGTTTTGTATTTTAAAGGGTTTTTACAACGTCACAGAAATCCGATTTCCTCCACAACGTAAGCACAATGGCTTTCTACACAGACAGAAGAGGGATTGGGTCATCCCACCAATTAATGTGCCAGAGAACTCAAGGGGATCCTTCCCACTGGAGTTAGTAAGAGTAAGTATTAAAATAATTGATAACATTAGGAACATCTTCAGCACTAACAATACATTATGTATTATTCATACCCTACATTCCTAAAGGAGATCTCCAGATTCAATGGAAACAACAAACTCCTTCCTAGGAAGCTTACACTGCAGCAGATGTGAGTATAGAGATACTCTCTGAGCTCCTGAAGTATTCTTGGCATTATGGGTCTGATTTACTAATCTGTGAATTGAAATTAACCTGTTTTCACTTCAAACATCCAACCTTGTCCTTGAGACATAATTTGTTTATGAAATTCCTTTGTACAGGTTCACTTCAGCGTGTTTTACTTCACTTTACTGCACTTCCCACTTTAGTAAATCAGACTAATTATGACAAAAAAAAAAAAAATCCAAGTTAAGCATTTCAATTTTAGCTGAAAGTATACCAGACAGTAACCATGAGTGATACTATAAACAAAGCTTTATAGCAAAGGGCAGTGTATACAAATGTTGTCTTGTAGCATTAGATTACCAATTAGATCACAGCATTAAATAATTTATTTTTAGAAATCTTGTAGGTTTTGCCAATGCTGTTTTGTCATGCAGTGTAAGATGCATTATACTCTACCACTAGCTCTAGACACTAGAGACATGATTAGAGGGCAGCCATAGGCACCACTAGCCAAATGTAGATTGTTTCTATTATTTATTTCTAGTTTTTGGTAGCTAATTACTCTAGAGAACACCTCAGGAAATTGCTGTTTAACTGGCAGCCCAAGGGCCACATGTAGCCTTTCAGTTCTACCTTGGTGGCTTCTGTGTGACCATTGTTACAAAAAAAAAAACAATTTTCAAATTACTTTACTCACAGGTTTGTGTGTGGATGTAACTAGAACTTTGGTGGTGGCATGCAAGCCTCTTTTCATAGTGAAGTGCCTCTGGGCTCGAGGGTTCATCATTATCTTTTAAGAAGCTCACTGTGCCTCAAAGATGGTCCTAAATGAATTTAATGTAATCAATAACAGTGGTTCAGTCAAGTCAGCTACAAGTTTAACAGAAATGACAGCACTACACTGTTCCTATGAGCTTATTAGAATCACCATGAATGGAGTACCAATAAACTATTACAACGATGGACACCTCCATAAATGGTATTTTTTACATCAGACTCAAAATGTAGGTCACCTGGACACTAGTATAACCCCCCGATAAGAAAACCAGAATTTGTATATCCAAATATTCACATGGTTCAAGCCTAATAAACGTGGAGTGGCTTTAACCCTGTGCAGATCTAATTGTCCCTCTGCACACATGATTTCAAGGAGAAATATAGGTAAATGTGATTCCGCAACTGCTTTATCTTTATATTATCTCCTAGTAGGGACACTTCCCATACACATCCTTGTTAGCAAACAGATTTCATATGTAGTTTGCAGCTTCATTCCACAGTGTATTCACTGTGTACTTATATTTAGTAATAAACATGGCAAGGAATCTTGTATATGATATTTATGTTCAACATCAAAACACTGCTTGAGGCTAAGTCCCATAGGTGTATGCATTGCCTGAAATAAATACTGCAGTCTATGCTTTCATCTCGCTTATATAAAGATGATATATATTTCCAGGTAAGTTCTGCATGCAAATCTCCAAAGATGAGTACTGTTGACACCTCTCAGCACAACATAGATATGCCACAAATGTCACCTAGTTTGGAATTAGGGGTGCCTCAACTGCAAAGACCTTTTCACAATGCCCAAGTGAGAGGGAAATAACATCCTCAAGCAAAAACAGTCTATGTCCAGGAAAGCTACTCCCAGATAGGTATGATGTCATGTATAATGATTCCATTTTTGGGTATTGATAAACACATATAGAAATAGTCAATCATTTGAGTCATGGGTTGGGTTTAAGGCTATCACAATCTTAAGTGCTTTCCATAGGGCAAACATCCTAGATAGCTATTTTATAGGTAAACCATCTGAGACCTATACCTTACATGTGAAATTGATCCAGTTTTTTTTCATTGTGCTGTTTGCATGCTTTGCCTTTGAGGGATTTATGCTGATTTATTTTTTACTGATTGTAAATCTCTATTCTTTTAACATACAGATAAGATCTGACAGAGATAAGAGCCTTTCTCTACGATATAGTGTGACTGGTCCAGGAGCTGATCAACCTCCCATTGGTGTGTTCATCATCAGTCCTATATCTGGTCAGCTGTCTGTAACAAAGCCTTTGGATCGGGAACAGATTGCTATTTTTCATGTAAGAAAACAAACTACCAGTATGGTGTGTTATTTAACTGCCAAGATTGCCATTACCTTTAATATGTAATAATTGCAAGAACTTGCGCTATTGGAAGTGGGAATAATAAAATATAAATAAAAGTTTAAATAGATAAAAATTATGTGAAATTTAATTGTTCTAGAAGGGTAAGGGAAGCTGCTGAACTAAAGGCACTCAGCCCCTATTAGGATATATTTTCTCAAAACGTACAGCGCTAGCCATCCTTCAAAGGTGAATATAAGAAATCAGACGTTAAGATCAAGATTTGACAAGTGCTATTAAAGAATATAAAATGTATCAAACATTCAGTGAAGGGGTGTATCTCAAAATACTCAATGTGAATGGTTGTGCAAACAATTTAAAGTCTATACAATATCAAATCAGAATTTATCAAATAAAAAGTGATAGGTTATGAATTATGTATCATATGTGGGTGATTCTTGTTAATAAATAGTGAATGAACAAACAATGTATACCAATTAAATAAAATTAAACTTTTATCAATGTATATGTGAATAGTCCAAATCTTTTGTAGTTTTTTCTAAAGTCTTTAGAAATCCATAAATGCAAGACACTTCAACAGTGAAAATTCAGTGCAATAATGTGTCCAACGAAAATCCAAAAAGAAACGAAAAAAAATGAAGAAAAAATGTAGAAAAAATGCAGAGAAAATCCCCTCAAGGGCATGCACTCACCAGATCCGAAGATGTTAAACACGTTCGTTTCATCAAGGCAAGTCTGGAGCTCCGTCTTTAGTTTCCATGCTCAATCAGGCTTCAGGGAAGGAAAGGTCTCCCGTTTTACCAAATATAACCTTTAATATGTACATAAGACAACATTTAGAATTTGCTTTCAACCCGGACCATTGGGCGTTTTTTTTTTCTGTAAACCAATGTTAAACTTTCCAGCTTTACCAATGTTGGTGGTTTGTAAATTAGTGGGTGTTTCTTGGAAGGCATTCTCTAGAGACCACATTTGACAAGGTTCTCACCTTGTCCTGTGGCTTCATAGTTACTTTCTTCTGTTGTAGACATCAAAGCACAGGTATGTAGCATTTTCGTCTCTTTGCTGTTTTCCTAGTGTTCAGGTTGGCAGGAATATCCAGGATCATGGCTAAGCTAGCTTTGTAGGTGGTGGAGGGGGATGCAGACTTGTATTAAGTGCTGACCCAGGCAGCAGAGTGTGTAAAAACAGTACTGATGTGTCCAACATATTTAAGTTGAAATAACTGCAAGTACAGGTAATACAAATTGTCAATCATAAACTTAAAAAATAACTGTAATACCCAACAAAACAGCATTACAGACATCAATTGAATAATAAATTACATTTAAAACTCAGTTTTAGCAACAACAAAAAAACGCAAAAGGAAATATCTAAAAGTGTGCAGCTTCTGATAGAGGTACAGCATTAAAATATTCCTAATGTGACTGTCATTTTACATTGAGTATTCAAATCTGATTGGTTGCTGCAGGTCAACACAGATAGTATAAGACCCATTGTTATTAATTTTCTGTCCTAGCTCTCTAGTTTGGGAATTTGGATGAGATTGTGCTAGTACATCCTAGTTTAGAAGACACACATTTGTAGCAGAATATACACAAATACTGAGCATGCCCTTTTTTTCCATTGCGGCCAAACACATAGATGTTATTGCTTCAATGAACATTAATTTGTTTTTCAATGAAGTACCTATTTTCCCGTTTCCCACCGCATATTACTATTCACTACTTCAATCACCCCCTATTTATTGCACACAACATATATAGCTGAATTGTCTATGGCTAACACAAATTAAGATTTTTAAAAATATCTTGTTTGCTTAATTTTAAAAATAACCATAGCCATAACAGACATTACAATAAGACAATAAAGTTGAATCTCTGCATAAAAGGGTAGATTTGCTCAGAGCATCTATTATCCAGTTCTGTAGTTACTCTGCTTGAATTGACAGCAGATTCACTGATATTTCCTAATAAGTCATCTGGGACAAGCTATAGCAGTGTATCACAGGAACTGAGCTATGCGCGAAACCTAATCTTCTCTCTCATACTTCTACTGAAAACTGCCATATAACATTATTTTCGCAGCTGAGGGCACACGCAGTGGATGTAAATGGAAACCAGGTGGAAAATCCCATAGACATTGTCATCAATGTAATAGATATGAATGACAACCGACCAGAATTTCTGCACCAAATCTGGAATGGGAGCATTTCTGAGGGATCAAAACCAGGTAAAATCTTTATATTAATCCGTCTGTTTGGTTTTACAATCCATATAAAATAGTTCACTGTTTGTTATGTAGTGTTACATTTCAACCTGCAGTTTTCTGTTTTTAGTTTTGGTGAATTCACAGAAGAAATGTTTTTGTTGAACATCTAATGTTTCTTTTAACCTTGCATTTGTTAAAGAGTCAGTTTACTTACATCTTATCTTTCAGGACCCAATTACACTATGGGGCTGATTTATAAATCTTCCACCCAGTGTATAGCTGGGTGAATGCCATGCACAACCAGTAGATGGAACTGGGGAGCATAGGAATTTCTTGAGGTGACAATGCTTTGTGAGCGGCATTCACCCAGCTATATGCTTGGCGGAAGATTTATAAATCAACCCCCAAGTGTTGTGTTATTGCACATGTAGTTACTCAATGCGTCATCATACATTAAGGTACTGCTGTGTCCAAGGAGAACTATGGGCCATTTTTTTTTTTCCCCATAGCTCACCTCAGCTCAGGGTCACGGGACGACATATACTGTGTGGCTTTGCCTGCTATATGCCGAGAGCGCCAAAGCCAACAATTCTGTCGAGATCCACCCAGTTGGCTGCCCCCTCCCCCGTCCGTCCCTCCAGTCAGCACTGGAAGATCAGAGAGGGGAGGGGGAATCCCTGCAGGGAACGGTGACTGACAGTGAGCGGATCAATAGACCTGTGACAATTTCAACTATGGGGATGAGTGTAATTTACTCACCCCATAGTTCTCCTTTAAGGCTACTCTTTAATTTAGAATGAGCTGGCAACAAACTAAAATGCACAATAAAAAATATAACTTTTTGAATTGCAAAGCGTTACAAAGCTGTAGTGCGCTGCAGCCATGCAGTGATAGATTCTAGAGAGCTAGACCCCCTGTGGTACCACAGTGGTAGATGCTAGAGAGTTGGACCCCCCAATGATTTTGTTTTATCTCAAAGACCCATGTAGTGAAGTATATATGCACTTGCATATCTAAATGTCCACAACTACTGCAACTCATACAAGGAGGTCCCTCCCTGGTGGAATGTATTTATATTATAGAAAATGCATTTCAAGGAGTGCAGACATCCCAAAGTGGGCAGGATCCCCCAAAACTCTAAAGTAATAGGGTATAGAGACAGGCGCTATGTCAGGAGTATCTCTATTTGGTAAAATAAATCACTGGGTGAACCAGCACACAAGTTCACCTTTCATGCTTTGTTTTAGCAGATAGGTTAGTGTACCCTGACAGGTTTGGTGGACATGAATCACGCCAGTCACTGCTTATAGTGTGAAGTGGCCCTAACTGTCAAGTGGCAGATATAAGATAACCTTTTTTATACTAGAGAAAGAGGAGTCAGAGAAGTGTGAATTTAGGTTTTTCTTACCACAGACAAAACCTGTTTGTGGAATTTTGATAATATAAAACAATTTTTTTTTTAAAGCACATACAGGAATATATTGATGGTAACATATATAATGGTAACATCTATAATTATATTTTGGTCACAGCACAATGAACTTTCTAATATGAAACCCCAACACTGGCGCTGCAATTACTGCTACAAATAGAAATTCCAGATAGGCATCCTTTCTACCAGGATAAAGATACGGGGTATATTACTTAGGAATTAAGTAAGAATCACTTAGCTGTATGTGTAATCTGACGTCCTGCTTTCAGATCACAACACAATCTATTGATGGCACATCAGTAAAAAATCCTGGTGATTAGTTGACTCGTTTGTCTCACATTGACCACCTTCTGGCTGACAATGATACATATGGCATATATTTATTGCATGTAATAATAAAAAAAAAAATAGAAAGATACATTATTCTTTTGTTCTCAAAATGATAAATAAATAAAAATATATACTGCATGTCAAAATACTATCCATTCCCTTTAATGCTAATGGAACTGATATTTAAATATAAAAAAAATTACAAAGAGTCCTATTTATAGCCTCCACATAACATAAGAGGACATTGCAGTAAATGCTCCATGCTCTGCCAGCATTTTCCAGTTTATTTACAGTTCTTGGTTTCTTTCAGGAAATTCTATGCATAAAGCTGTAGAAAACATTCTGGGATAGGAGTAGATCAATGTCATGTGACCCGTTTCCTCCTCTCACGACTCCACCACTTTTTATTAGAATAAATGGTTTTTTGGTTCCGTCCTTAAAAGAGTGATTTAAAAAGCATATTTTTTTGGAAAGTGCAAGTATACACCAAATGTTTTAAAATTTTATACAGAGCGGGGAAGGGTTAAAACCCCTAACAGGTTCTTTTCTGCTTTTTGTGTCTCCTGGGGAGAGCTGTTCACTTTCTGTCCTGGGGATGCAATAGGATATGAGAGGAAATCTCTCCAGTTAGCTGTCACAGGAAAATGTGTCCCTATGAGAAGATTTCCCCTCTGCTTTGCTGACAACTCTAAAACTTGGGAATTTCCACTCACATTCTATACCAGAGACAGCGTTGTCAGGACAAATAGTGAGGGTAGATCTTCCCAGTGGGTACACAGACAGCAATAAAAACCTGACAAGAGTTTCTAACCCTTCCCCACTACATCCAGAACCAAAATAAACGTTTTGCCTTTACATACACTTTTGGCACAGACTGTAGCTTTGCTTTATAATATATTATTTTAACAGTGGTATGGCCACAATTAGGCCATACAGCGGATTTAGAGGATTTCTTGGCATTTGCAGTTATAGAAGTGAAATCCGCTACATTTTTATTTCTGCATGGCATCTTCTGTCAGCATCTCCCATTTAACATATTTGCTGATTTTAACTGAGAATATGTCTGTTTTTAATTGTGATTCTCTTTTATAGTTTGCTGTTGTAACTTTCTCTAAACAGTGAATAATAGCTAAAAATTATAAACTTCTAGTAATTTTAAATAATAATATTTGAAATAGATGCTATCCCACTGAGCTTGAACCTATTTTAAGGTCCTCTAATAATGACAGCATCATAATACCAAGTGTGTGAATTCATGTTTCCATAATATTACATTAATACATCTTGTCCTGATGCTTAAAACAACGAGGACTGTGTTGTAATTTCATTATCCGTAGGCAACATAGAAAAATATGCCTATATCACTGTGTAGAGCCTTCATGTTTGACACATAGGCATCTGGCACAGATCAACCAGTAGAACTAGTTGAAAGCAATGATTAAAATGACATGCCTCTTCAGTCCTGGAGCCAGGAGACCCTAGGCCTATATGGTGGATATAGTACAAAAATATGGAAAATTATAAAACTGCCATGTTTAAACCCAGCCGATACTTGCATAGCTTTTCAGGCATACCTAGCTCTATTTCTCAAGGACAGTGATATAGATTCACCAGGACATTGCCCAGCAATATCAAGCAGCAACTGTCAGTAGAATCTCAAAGTAAGTTTGACTTGTATTGTAACTGAAAGAATAACATAACAGAAACCCTGTTTCTGATATTGCCTATTTCCAGTTTCCATTATAATTTAGATAAGCTGGTCTTGATGCCACACATATATCAGCCAGTAATATAGGTTTAACAAATTTGGGCAACTGACAGTGTAATATAAACATTTTTTAAAATAAATCACCTGTGAGCACCATACGATGTTATTCTCCATTGCTGCCTTCTGATGTGCCAGGGGTGGAGAGCTTTGAGAAATGGAACACATATACATTTTACTGTGAGCACTTATGTCCAGCCCAGTCATCAACTTTGACAGCTAATTTGATTTCAGCATTTTAATGTATACATCCCATGATCTTAATCCGTAACCAAACCTTTACCACCAATCAGGAGTTGAAGTGGAGAGCAGGCAATGTGCATGTTTGGCATAAGATCTCATGTGATAATTTCTTCTTATACTTACCTTATAGCTTCCTAATGTATTAGGGAATTTTAAATATGCTGGTTGAAGATGATTTTACTGGGTCATGGAGTGTTTATCATAGCGACCTATGACCTGATTATCCTTCTTCTGTTTGGAATATGACAGCAGGCAAGAACCAATTGCATACAGTAATGAACGCTTTCCGGCCACAGTTGCCAACATGTTTTAAGTTTTCTTTCAAATTTTAACTTAGAACCTGCATGTTTGGGTATGGTTGGCCTGCATTACTAAGGAATTACAAATCAAGCTATATGTCTAATTTTAATATTAACTGCCAGCCGAACCCAAAACTAAAACGTTTGGTTTTGTGTGGTTGCTGGCAAGTTAAATTCCAAGTTAAATGCTTTGTTTTTCTATCTTATGGGGATTACAAAAGTGGATAACCCCATAAGAATCCTTAGTTTTCACATATGCCATATTGAATGCAAAGCCAAATGATGTTACCATGCTTCCTCAGTGAATTATTTTTAATGCAGAATTCATTGCTCCTAAAAGTTCCAGAGAAACAAAAAAACTGCAGGAAAAGTTTGTTGCTGGCAACTCTGAGAAACGTTAAAAAGCCAGAGGGCAGGCAATTCATCCCACCAATTCTTACTCATAACGGAAATACTAATTGCAAAATAACTGAACATATTCTCATATGCTTATATTCGTCTCCAGGATCCTATCGCATAAGCTTTCCAGCCAATTGTGGCAGTGTAGGCGGTGACTAGTAATGCTGGTAGGGAAATGTAGATATATGGTAAATTTGCTGTAGAAAATGGAAGATGGTCGCCTGGAGTGCAGAAGCACATAGTTGATTTTTTGTTGTTTAATCAAATGGTTAGCTAATAATCCCTAATGGGAATATTTGAAAAGGCGGAGCCTATTTTTAGTAGTTTAATCATGCTACCTTCATTGCTAGCAAGTCTTTGATAAAAGTAGTGATCATTTGCTACACAGATAGAACAAATGGCTGCGAGTGAGCTGTAAATGCAGAATGTGGAATTTGTGATTACTCAAAAGCTTTAACACTTTTGCTGCCAAGCCCTGTGTTCCTCTTTGGACCTCAGCTGGCCAGACCATTTTTGCAATTTTTCACCTTTTTTTACTTTCAACTGCAGCTTTAAGAGTTTGTAAAAGACCCCCTAACCCATAAATTCCCTGAAAGCACAGCACCGGTAGAATAAAAAGATGTTGCTACTAATTTTGTAGGTCTTGCGATAATTGCGCAAATGTTTATCAAATCAATATTAAACCTATAAAAATACACACTAAAATTGGTATCAGTGCACACAAAAAACACTTCTCCAACTAAATCTAAAAGATACAACTGTATTGAGTTAATAAATAACAAATAATTGTATATTTTGAATTGCACCTTTTTGCAGACTGGTAAACAAATGAAGGAACACAAAACTGTAAACAAGCAACTTATGTTAACTATCTGTGTTGTGGTAATGCCTGATCTGCAGTGCCGTTTGTGCACTGCGTTGGTGTGTGTTGTGATAAAATTACGCAGGCATACATTTAATTGCAACACAGTGTATCACAACGCACAGCAATATGTCACAATGCTTTGCCATGCACTGCCACAGTTGAAATAATGTTATTTTGAAAAGAAAAATCAAATACTGCGATGTGTTCTAACAACACACCGCAGACCATGTGCATGGCATACACCACAATATGGTGCACACTGTTGCACATGTACATTGTGTGTGGGGTGTGTGTTTTATTTTTTTACTCTTTATTTATTTTATTTTTTGTTTACTATTTTGAACAGAAAACACTCAGTACAGTACTCAGTCCTATTCATTTATAAACTGAGGAGGCATAGTACTCTCCCAAGTCATGAATTGACAAAAGCCTCTGTACTGAGTGCTCCTCTATATTCAGACAGAAACTCATGAATGAACAGAAAGTGATGTAGAGCACTTCCTGTTCATTCATAACTGGGACATATTATGTCCTCAGTTATTTACAAACACTGCGATCAGCGATCAGTCCAGTGTTTAGTCTGCACAGGGAAAGATCGGTAAATATTTGACATATTTACCAATTCTCTTCTCTACATCTTTAATCTTGACAATTGTTCTCTCCTCCCCGCTCGGCATCCTAAATTTCACAGCTCTCTACCACCCTCCCTGCCGGCTTCAGCGGTCTGTTTGCCCATACAGGTGGGGGAGAGCAGCGTGGATCTGAGGGAAAACAGATCGGAGCATGGAGCGGCTCAGGGCAGGCAGGAGAGACTGTCAAGTTGACGTGGCGTGGAATTTAAATTAATAGGTGTCATCAGCTGTCCATGTACAGGGGACTGTCAGGGGGACCCCTCTGTTATAAAGCTAAAGCGACCATTGGCTTATACCAGAAGGGTGAAAGCCACCGACGTCAGGCAAACTGATGTGGTCAGCTGAACACAGTTGTGTACCGCTGTATGCCTTACGTCAATGACAGGTAAAGGGTTAAATGTGTGCTATTTTTCACAATGACCTAATACTAAGGGGGTTATTCACAAAACTGCCAAAGGCAGCCAAGTAAATAACCCAGCTGAAGTGAAGTGAGCCGAACACTGTTCGGCTATTCACTTCTGGCTTGGAATCAGCCGTGCATCGGCTCTGTATGGCTGCCAACGGACAGCCGAACATGCAAAAGTGCAGCAGGACTTCGACTCAGCCGATCCAACATCTGGATCAGCTGAGCCGAAGCTCCGGCAGCTCACTCGCTGCCATTCTCCCCCTATTCTCATAGGCATTCGGCTCAGCTATTCTGCTTGGTACCTCCGTGGTGCAGAACAGAATAGAAAATAAGTGAAAGAAAAGGGGGGCAAAAACCAAGTAGGAAAATTATTGTAAAAATGTAAATAAATAGTAAACTTAAAAAAAAGATATTTTAAAGAAATGAAAAAAAAAATTGGGCGGAGCAGTGACAGCTAGCTCCGCCAAACTCTTTCCTATTGGCTGGCACCTGCTAGAGTCTTCTAACAGGTCCCAGCCAATGAATAACAACTGGGTGGAGCTGGCTGTGATGCCTTGGCCGGCTCCGCCCAGTTGTTATTGTTTAATGACAGATCAGCGTCCCCAGGTCAATTGGGGATGCTGATCTGTCATTACAACTGGGCGGAGCGAGTCATGAGATCACGACTAGCTCTGCCCAGCTGTCATTTACAGGGGTTACGGCCCCATTTTGGCTATCATATGCCTTCTGCTCAGCTGAGCCGCTTGGCAGCCTTTGGCTGCTGTACGGGCTATAGTGAATAGCCCGTACAGCAGCCCTTAGGTTTGACTGAATCGATGGGCTCTGGCGGCTGAAGATAGCCAAAGGATCAGCCGAAGCTACGGCTGGATCCTTTGGCTTCATAGTGAATAATCCCCTAAATGTTACTTGTGTAGCTCACACCATAGGAAACGGTTTGTTTCATCTTTTTAGAAAATGATTGATAGTCTTATGAATCACCAGCAATTTTAGTAGCATGACTGAGCTACTAAAAATAAACTGCGCTTTTGACTTTATTACTTAGCAAAAGGGAATAACTGTAACATGTGTACAGCAAGCTCAGACGGCTTGTGTTGGTCTGAAATCTGCAATGTTCTCTGTTAAAGAACTTCTATCAAGGGACTCACAGTTTTCCTCACACAAGGAATGTTACTCACAAAAGTAGGTGAGACTACAAACCAACTCTGCAGTTACTTTAATCTTTTATCAGCGATTTCTTAAGAGATTGTAAAATGTTTATAAAAGGTAGTAAATGTTTTGAAAAATTGCCAAACAATTAAAAGTTTTCTTTTGAACGTAACTAATTTGATTAAACTAATTGTTTTGTATTTCAAATTATTTGTGTTTGTATTCTGTTCTAGGTTCCTATGTAATGACCCTTACTGCTATTGATGGTGATGACGAAAGGCAACCAAATGGTATGCTGAGATATAAAATCCTATCTCAGACTCCAGACACTCCTTCCTCTAACATGTTTACAATCAACAATGAGACTGGAGATATTATCACATTGGCAGCAGGACTTGATAGAGAGGTAAATCATTAGTTTAATGTATGCATTATAAAAGTGGGAGACATGCAAAAAGCTTACTGCTGAAAGACTTATTTTTGCCACCTTAATTGTCTGAGTGCACAGCCTGAATCTGTGGGACAGAGCTGAGAAGCTCCCTGAGGTCTGTCAGCTGCTGCTTTGTAAACTCCTTCTTTCCTCTTTTCATATATGACAAGAATATGACTCCCCTTTCTCTTTTGTGACAGAATTGGTTCTTGATCATTGGCCTAGCTCTGTCACACGAGGGTGGGGATAGAGTTCTTAGCCCTGTTTAAGCTCAAAATTACAATTGGAGCTTACACAAGGCTTTTCTCTTCCTTCCCAGTAGCTAAACAGAACAGGGGAGCAAAATAAAGGTGACTATGAGCTGCCAAGGAGGGAAGAAGTTAAACGAACCTGTTGCGTTGCCTGGCAAAACAGGTTCAGTTTAAAGAATCCTGGTCACTGATAGAAAATAGTATTTTAATCTTTAGCATATGAACTAAGTTGAAAAGATGGTGTGGACTTCCCCAGCTTAAATTAAAAAAGCAAGGCATCCCAAAAAATACATGATTTAAAAAAGTTCTGTAGACACAGGAGGATGACTGACCGCTGATCTTCTTTGTAAAATGCTGCATAATGTGTAGGCATCCTATAGAAATACAGGAAATGAATACGTAGTAACATGGTATTGTGCGACTCTACAGGTAATTGTTATCCGTACTAAAATTCCCTTTAAAGTATTTTAACGTTATTCCAATATGAAAGGGCTACATTAGAAGAACGTAAAGGCATCAAACTGTTTATGTTATTCACAGTAACCAGTCAGAGTCCCCTAGTTATTTTAGTGCAGACTTGAAGAAAAAAAACTAACAAATGATTGCATGCTGTGCGATAGAGCTTATGTTGCTTTCAGTTTATATAAATTTCCTTTTATGCTTTTTAAAAAATACATTACCAAATGCTCTGGAAGAATGAAATTCAGCTAATGCTGGGGATAATCTCATAAAAATTTGAAATAAAACAACCTTGTAGACCAACAAGCTTCTTGTAGGTTGCCTGTTGGACAACAGTGATGTGCTGTGGATGAACTTAAAAGCTATAGAACAGAACCCAAGGCATTTAATCATACTGATAACCTTTAAAAGAGATTGTAGAAGGAAAGTGCAAATACAGGTAGATCTGTTAAACTGAAATGGAATATCTGAATTACATTTCCATATGACAGAAAATCAATATATTTTTAAAAAATTAAAGAATGCTTTAATTGTCTTTTTTAATTTAGTCCTTGAATTAGATCAGGAGCCTACCTCCTTTCCTATGGAGCATAAATCCCTATTTCAGATTTCACCAGTACCACCTGCTGGGGAAACCCATCACTACTGCCAGACAGCTATACATTTTGCAGTTCCTCCTCTTGAAAACAATGGCTGTTGTTTCCCAAAGGAATATGAACAACAGTGGCTTGAAGGCTTTGTTGTTGCTTACATAGGAATATGGTCTAATACATTTTTTTATTTATAAATGCACTCATTTTACTTTCTCTGTTTTGTATTTAGTATTCTTATGAAGCAGCTCTGCTGCATTTTTTAGACAACCAAGCTTTTTCTGAAAGAAATTGTATGATCAAATTAGGTTAGCAGCCCAAAGGATAGCTCTGGTGGCTTTTCCCAGCCTATTCATTGTATAAGTTCCTTCCCAGTTTACCTTTTAACACAAACAAAGGTTGACACTCATTTGTGGATAGCTGCATTCTCATAATGTTCCTTATAATGACTTGTTGCTTTAGGCTTTGTCTACATTACAGACTCTTATTTTCCTTTTTCAATGACCTGCTACTAAGATTGATACACTGGAATAGGGTGCAATGCCATGGTGCATAATCAACTTACGCAGTACTTTTGGCATTTATCAAAATGAATGACCTAAACTGCCCATAGATATTAACAGCTGTACATGCTGTTGTAATTTGAGTACCAGCAGATCTTTCCTTTTCTTAGTCTGTGAAATAAAAATGCACAATCAGATCATAATGCTTAAGCAGACACCTTCAGCGCTCCTTAATCTTCTGGAAAACAGTAGCAGTCACCTAAAAATATTAATCTGATCATTGGTTCCCCAAGAACACTTAGGTGTCTGGGCAGTGTATCTTTACCTTCTAGACTTGAGGATCATTGTCCAGTGCTACTGGGATGGGCTAGATCTGGACTCATCTAATGTCTATACATAGCTAAATTAATAAATACTGTGAAAATAACACGAAACAGGTTAATTAGTGTTAACAGAGCAAGGTGATTTTAAAGTTAAATGTTGACATTTGAACAGTGTGTGCTTTTCTCATATATGAATATTTAAATCATAAAGTTTAAATTAGGTATTTCCTGTATTTTGTTTGTGCTGTGATTAAAGGTTAGGAATGATTAATTGCAACTGTGTTCAAATATTCATAGTGTGATGATAGTTATAAATATATCATATAGAGCTGCAGCTAACGATTATTTTCAAAATCGATTAGTTAATAGCTTTTCAATTTATATCATAGTGCAAAGAATAATCATATGCATACATCCAAATTAGTAATTAGTCCAAAATCTAGACCAGGCTAATCAGTTGAAAATGGAAATCTTATTGGCTGATGTAGCTTACAGGCTATAAGTGCTGATTGCACTGTATGATTTGTTTTTTTACTCTGGTAAAAAAAAAATCCAGTCCACTAATATGCAGGCTGTACTTCTAGAAAATGTTAAGTAGGAATATTATGCTTTAGCTTAATAATGTGTTTAGTTAAAGAGACATTGTGCGCTAAAAAACAAGTTGTCCTTGTATGAAAAGTCTTAGCCATTCACCAGTTTTACATCAATCTAAGCACTTTAGCAAGAGATTAGATCATTTATTTTATTAATAAAAGATGATTTAACTTAAAAGAAGTCTGGACCCAAAATTCAGGTTAGAGGAAGCAGCCGTCCACACACATAAACTGGTTGACTACCAGTTCATCTTTAAGGCTATTATTAAAGCAACCTTCATGTAAAGTCGCCTTTAGGTTCATTTTTCCAAAACATGGTTATAATAGATTGTTTATAGTAGTGTTCATATCACTCTAGAATATATAGTGGAATTAAAGGATCGGGCCACCCAAAATAAATATTTTAGTTATAAATATTTGGCTGAATCATCCTCTGACTTTTTATTAGTCTTGGATACTGTAGCAGTAAGATCTCCCTGACATAGTCCCTGTCCAATAAGGAGTGTGCCACTCAACCTTGTGTGTTCCAACAGCTCCTGCTGCCTTCAAAATAATATAAAATAAATTAAAAATCCAACACGAAAATGTAGAACTCATTTTAATGACTACATGAGGCGTGCAGACTGAGAAATTCAAGCTAATAGATCTCCCCAATAGAGTGCTAAGATAAAAATTAGGTGGTTGAACTCTCCAGCATTTAGGAAAAAAACAAATATACATTTTAGGTGTTCTGGCCCTTTAAATACAGGATTTTACAGTGTTATTCTAGCAGTGTTTCCCAGAGCAAATAACGCCTACTCAGTTTCATAGTGGCACAGTTATTAAACATATTAAAGATAATTAAAATGGTTGATAGTCTTGTGCTATAGCTCAGCATGTAAAATTACATAACATTCAAATGATTTTGTATTGCTCTTTTGAAATGTCGTCAAGGTCTTTAAACAAATACTGATGCAGTTTTATGTCTTCTAGAAAGTGCAGCGATATACATTAATAATTCAAGCCACAGACATGGAAGGAAACCCAACATATGGTCTCTCAAACACAGCAACTGCTGTCATTAGTGTGACAGATGTCAATGACAACCCTCCCGAGTTCACGTCAATGACTGTAAGTATGGATTATAAGTATCCGAGAAATACAGATATGAGGCCAATACGGCAGCAGCATGCTTGCTTGGCTTTAAAGTTTAGATGAAGACTGTTCCAGAAGCATTTACAATTCATATACTGTACTTATACAGAGTGACAATCAAATACAAGCCGCATGGAGGAGGAGGATCGTACGTAAATGAAACAAAACAACCATTTTGTTACAAATCCATTCTAAGTGCATCATTCTTCATATTACTTATTCGGTCAGCCTTTAGTTATGCACTTTGAATAATAGATGAGAAGGCTGCCACACGTTTTCAAAAACTTAGCTGCTGCAGACTATACAAGGCAGTTTTTAAAATAAAGTTTTCCATCTATAGTAGTAGCAATCTTATCTTATTAAATGATTTATCCGATATGCCCGGTGATATGCCTTGAGCTTGCTGTTCTTTTTGATTCTTGTCAGCTCTGTTAGGGAAATGAGAGGCAGAAGAAGAGAGACTCTTGTTAGATTTGTGTCAGTGCATTCAGCTACTCTCGAGCTGTACTTAGAAGGCTCATGTGATGCACTGCAGAGTTGATCTTCGCCATAACAGAGTCAGCACATCTTTGCTGCCTTAATGTATATCTAGCAGACATGCTAAACTACCCTATTAATTTGACAAACACAAGGAGAGTGAAATCACTGTCCTAAAAGATATACCGAGAGAATTACAGAGACTGTATGATGAAGTGTAAGTGCCTTTGTTTTGTGTAACCTGGCCAAGACCAATCGTGCTCTAGGAGTTAACAGCAGAGATATGATATAATGCACTTGAAGCCTTATGCTAGAGTGAAGCATCATGCTTGTTTTGCATTTATGAGGATACACATTTGGAGATGGGATTTCTGCAGGTTTTCGGCTCCTTTTGAATTGGCTCTCCAATCACAGTTATATTGGGCTTTTCATTTATTATAGTAAACATGAGTCAACTTTCAATTCATGTTGGGGGTTATCACAGGATTGGGAATTTTGAATATTTAGTTCCTATTCCTATATAGATATCTATTTATACATGTTTCCCCCCGTGATTTACACAACTTTTACCCAGGATTCACACATTTTTCCAATAGAATGCCATTGAAAAAAAGTGTGAATCTTAGGTGAAAATCATATGAATCTTATGTGAAAACATTTATAAATGGACCCCTAAGTTACGTGAACATTTGCTATAAACTGTTTGTAAACACAAATATTATTTTCCCGTCAGTAGATTCTACCACTTCCTGCCTCTTTTCGGTTAGGCATAACAATGCTAACTGCAGTGTTCAATTCCTATAGTAGCGTTTTTAACCCGTTGCATGCACTACCTGATTGCCAATGTAGTGTGGTCTGTAGCCTACCAAAGTCAGTCTGTGTTATCGCAGGCAGCCACACCTCCAGCCCTGCCCATACTTGACTGACAGCAGCTGCTGTAGTGAATACTGCTGTCAACACCTTAGGACTCAGCAGTCTCCACCAACCAACCTCAGAGCTTTGAAATGAAGAAGGTAACAGTCACATGACCACTACTAAAGATAGAAAAAAGGGTATTTAAATTGCTTTTTTTCCAGCAAATATTTAATTTAGGAAAGTATAAGGACGTGAATGAAAAATTGTTGGTTTGCAGCCTAAGGGTTTCCAGATACTTTACGTGATTTAAATAACATGTATTTAATCATCATAGAAGAGAGACAAATGCTTTTTTTTTCAATTCTTCTGAAGTACCACAAACTATCCTATGTATTTACTGCTTTAGAAAATGCTTGGGATTAATATGTTTTTCCAAGTGTTGTGAATGATTAACAGTGATTGCAAAGAAGAACTATAACTGCAGCATTAGCTGGAATGGTACAATATAGGAGAATCATAAGCCCTCTACAGCCCCCTGTAAACAGCTCCAATATTTACAGTACTAAATGGAGTAAAATCAATCCGTGCAGGTGCATATTTTCTGGTAATGCATAATTGTTTGGGCATTGTGCATTACTGGAACTCGCCAGTAGATGGCACATCAGGTAAAAACTGGAGTTACTATTCAGGCTCTAGTAAAACCATGGGAGAAAGGACTGTGTTTTTGCAGAGAAGTCACAATAAGCAAATAGGGGTTTTTAATTTTTTCTGCAAATCCCATTTAAAGGTTCCCATTAGCATCATAGGTAATTTGTTTGTTTTTAGCTTGTTCAGATCGAAAACAGCATAATTATTTATAAGGTTCCCAGAGATGAAATAACTACCAAACAATATTAGTACTGAAACCAAATTGCACAAAAACTTATGAGGCTGTACAGTGATAGCATACATCATACGATCAACTGCTTTTATTACAGAACATTGCAGACTATACATTTCAGCTTACGTGCTGCTTTTTTTAACCACTTCAAGACCAGGTGTTTAGACCCCCTTCCTGGCCAGGCCATTTTTCAATTTGTTAACTAATTTTGCTGAACAGCTGCTGTTTGATTTGCATTTAATGTTTTTTACAAATTCTATAAACTTCTAGACCCAACTGGTTAATATTTTTAAGATGTAAATGCCTTCAAAATCAAACAATCAAATGAATCATATGCATTGAAGTCATGGGGTCAATGTTTTTTTCATGGACCCCTAAAAGGCAGCAAAGAACTAAGGCAAGGAAACAGGAACAGACTGGAATAGGAAGTGCTAGGTATGGGTTTATTTGAATGTTAATGTGCATGAATACAGGTACCAAAGTGTACAATACTAATAAGCCAGACTTACCACATTGAAAATGGTTGGGCTGATGTTGAGTCATACTGTCATTTCTAAGCCTAGAGAGAATTATGATCCTAATACTAAACTGTTTTCATGAGATTATTAATCTCTTGCTTATGATCGATATGATACTATCACTGGACTTTTTTGAACCATAAAACATGTCAGGGTCACCTTATTTACACCTGTAGGTAAAAAAGAACCTAACTCTCCTAATGGTGTCAGTGTAATCTCTGAAGATTTGTGCAGAAGGGAACCATGCAGCGAGAAAAAAAAAAATCAAGGATAACTAAGGCATAATTTCTAAACCTTTAAGAGCGTGGGCATCATAAGTAACACAAGAGTTGTTGCCTCCTATACTTCACCCATTATCAACAGCCATTAGGAAGTCGAAGCATGCTGTGTTTCCCAGCAACTGTGGCACTAATAGTTCTCCCTGAAGACGGCACCATGGGGCTTTATTCAGCCTTAGTACAGTTTGTCACATGCATTGTGGACTATGAATGATCTTTAAAACTATCTTTGATGTCCCATGCGTCTGGCCTTTGCCTTGTTTCCCAAAGTACATAAAAAGAAACACACTAAGTAAACTTATAGGAAGTAAATGCACGGATAATCCATTTATTACCTAATAAGCATATCTAGGAACTCTCCAAACAACTTCCAAAGACTGCATACAAGAGTTTAAAGATTTCAATAGACATGTCACATCAATCTTAAGAGAAAGACAAACATTTTCTTGCATGTGTACACCTAAAATAAGTTAATATATGGGACCATACGAATAACTAAATGTGCCGAGCTACAACAATGAGCAATACAAAAAAAAAAACTCAGCAAATTTCCATATTTAGCAATAGTGATGAATATTTCTTGTTCCTTCACCAAATACACCACGTGCACCACACCAGATATAGGTGTGGTGCAAAAGGTAAAATCAGGCAATTCCCTTCTTAAGCAGGGAAGGGGGCCCTCAGCTCCAATCGCTCACAGATGTCCTCCAATGGTGTAATAAGACCAGCAGACAGATCTGTAAATCACTTCTTTAGTAGAAAAACAATAACCTCCAATCTTTATCGATCTGTAGGCCTCCTCACTTTAGGATGTCAATACCAGGATCGTGTTATCCAAAAAAAGAAAGCAAACTCCATAGCACGTACCATCCAAACAGAGTATGATTTATTAAAAGAAAATGACTCACATAAAAGCAGTGGTAGCGTAGCATGAAATCTCTCTTAGGTGTGTGTGCAGGAGTTTCAAATGACTGCGGCAGTCAGCCATAGAGATCAATGTGACGTCAGATGCTCCGCCCTATGCGCATTACGTCCAGCCTGACTTCATCAGGGACGTAATGTGCATGAGTAATTTTCTTTTAATAAATCATACTCTGTTTGGATGGTACGCGCTATGGTGTTTGCTTTCTTTTTTTGGATAACACGATCCTGGTATTGACATCCTATACTGAGGAGGCCTACAGATCGATAAAGATTGGAGGTTATTGTTTTCCTACTAAAGAAGTGATATACAGATCTGTCTGCTGGTCTGTATACACCATTGGAGGACATCTGTGAGCGATTGGAGCTGAGGGCCCCATCCCCTGGTTAAGAAGGGAATTGCCTGATTTTACCTTTTGTTGGGGTCTATCAATAAAGTGAGCACCCCTATATCTGGTGTGGTGCATTTGGTGAAGGAACAAGAAATATTGATCACTATTGCTATATATGGACATTTGCAGAGTCATGAAAATGTAAAGACTCTACACCTGATTGATTTTTATTCACTGACATTTGTTTGAGTCACTGATTATTGTGTGTTTTTTTTGTATTGCTCATTGTTGTAGCTTGGCACATTTAGTTATTCATTTTTCACGTATACACACTCACAGTGGGTGTACATTCCAGTGCCTTGTAGCTGTTAGTTTGCTTATTGGCGCAGTTCATTTTTATATATATATATAATATGGGACCATACACACATTTCAGTATATATTTAATGTCCAAGTCACACTGTTAATCAAAGACTACAGGCTTGACTTAAAGTAGATCTAAAGACAATTGTTAATATCCCATACAAACATCAACATGTCATTTTTAAAGATGTTTTCACTGTTTTTAAATATGGCACCTTTCATTAAAGTGATACAGGGTGATCCTTTTATTAAGGTCCTTGCCCCGGCACTTCCAATTATAGAGTAACAACGGCCTCCCAGTTGTGCTCCCTGTTATACATTTTTCTAATGGAGATTGTAAGTGGCTGTTTTA